AGTGATGCAGAACACAACACTTACAGTGATGCAGAACAAACACTTACAGTGATGCAGAACACAACACTTACAGTGATGCAGAACACAACACTTACAGTGATGCAGAACACAACACTTACAGTGATGCAGAACACAACACTTACAGTGATGCAGAACACAACACTTACAGTGATTTCAGAACACAACACTTACAGTGATGCAGAACACAACACTTACAGTGATGCAGAACACAACACTTACAGTGATGCAGAACACAACACTTACAGTGATGCAGAACACAACACTTGCAGTGATGCAGAACACAACACTTACAGTGATGCAGAACACAACACTTACAGTGATGCAGAACACCACACTTACAGTGATGCAGAACACAACACTTACAGTGATGCAGAACACAACACTTACAGTGATGCAGAACACAACACTTACAGTGATGCAGAACACAACACTTACAGTGATGCAGAACAAAAACACTTACAGTGATGCAGAACACAACACTTACAGTGATGCAGAACACAACACTTACAGTGATGCAGAACACAACACTTACAGTGATGCAGAACACAACACTTACAGTGATGCAGAACACAACACATCAACATAAACACAATACTAGAATTTTCTTGCTATGAAACTTGATGTGTGAAAAATTTGATAATAATAATATCTTGCTTGCACAAAATAATGGCACTGTTGTCTGTGGAAATAAGACAAATTAGACACTGGTTACATGAAAAGAATATGAACACAAGAATGTTCAACACACAGAACAAAACAAGAATACACAAATGCTTGGAAAAAAAAATATAACAGACAACACTGAGTTGTGATGCAGAACACAAGGTAATAAATTACTGAATTAATTCACTGGAATACTGAGAACACAAGGTGATTCTGAAGTGTAACACAAGTTCTATACTGCTCATATGTTGCACACACAACAAAGAAAAAACACTAGGTACTTACTTCAAGCGTATAAAAGAAACACAACACAACAGACATAAGAAAATGCACGGAAATTAACACTGAATTAAGGAGATTATCAAATTATTGCAATCAGTATATAATAAACACTGAGTCTGATCAAGAGTCACTGAATGTCACTAAGAGAAAAATCACTGGAAACACAAAAAGAAATGTCTCAACACTCGCAAATGTCTCTATGAACAATATTATCGCTGTAACGACTTGGTGTAGAATGAGGTAGATGGTAGAAGGTTGGAGGTGGAGGGTAGAGGAGACTGGTGGCGACTACGATACTGCCTTCTCTCCACACTCGAAGAATTTGCGCTTAAATCGATGATAGACTCACACAGGAGGCTTTCAACGGTGGCGCCACTGTCGAAGACACACACTAGCTCTTGACCCCCTATGTGGTCCTTAAAATATGGTGTTTATAACCTTCTTTAGTGTACCAACACTGGCAGAGGTTTGGTGAGTGGGTTAATGGCTGAGTGAGGTGTCTTAGACTGCATGGTGAGTGGGTGGGTGGGTGGGCTTAACAGGGCTAAGACTGGGGGTGGTGAGACACGTGGTGAGTGGGTGGGTGGGCCTATGGATTGAACGGCGTAAGTCTCACTGAGGACAACCACGCTGGCGTGAAGATATTCTAAGCTGGCTGGCTTAAAATACACCCACAAAATACCACAACACCACAGGGATGAAAAAGAGCACTCAGGATGGCTTGGGGCTTGAGCACAAAGCGATGAAGACTGTACTCAGGTGGCTAGCTTGAGTACTGGGGTAAGACACCTGGGTTAGTTGCTAGCTGGCTTATCTTAACCCTTCACACAGAATAGCTTGATAACTTCTCATGATGAGCACATCAGGGGTGGAAAGCTGGCTTGGCAGGCAAAAAAAATGGATGGAGTAGGCTAGGCTGGACTGGACTCCCTCACCACAGACTGGTAGCTGGCTTACTTTGCAAACTCGGGTCAACCCCTCGGGAGTGATGCAAATAAGCAGATAAACACTAATACAAAGAGACTGACCATTGAATAATGTAGTGGCTGGTAGGAGCTTGGGCAGGAGGAGCTGGCTGAGGTAGCTGGCTGGCGTTAACCTTCTCGGCAAGCCTACTCACATTGTGGCAGCCGGCTCGGTAGAAACTTATCTCCAGAAATCGCTGTAATTGTCAGAATTACAGGCTCTCCGCTGTCACCATTTGTCGTAGGGGTTCTTAAATGGAGATATCGAGGGTTGAAGGTAGACACACTTGTTGGATGGTAACGATATATTGTCAGACTCTGGTAAAGGGAGATGGAGCCCAGCCTCTGCCTTGTCCTAGCCTATGTCAAACGCCAACTGAGGCCGAGGTAGCTAGCTTGCCTCACACTCAAGCTGTATCCCGTGACGTCACACAAACAGTCACAGGCCTAGGGATCTCCTATCTAAAGCACATGGATGATACTGATATGCTATACAACACAGGGATCAGCAACTATGCTGACAAGGCAGGTCCTTATCAAAACGACCTCTACCCAAAGCTACCCAAGAATTAACTCCCGCATCCTATGACACTAATCAAACCCAGCCCCTCCCACTCATATATTTGTCCAATCTCTTCTTAAAGCTACCCAAGGTCCTAGCCTCTATCACCCCACTGAGAAGATTGTTCCACGCATCCACAACTCTGCTAGAAAACCAGTACTTACCCATGTCCTTTCTAAATCTAAATTTATCCAACTTAAATCCATTATTTCTGGCTCTTACCTGGTTCGACACCCTCAGTACTATATTAACATCTCCTTTGTTTATGCCTGTCATCCACTTATACACTTCAATGATATCTCATTCTACCTCTCTCCAGAGAGTGGAGATTTAAGGCTTTAAGTCTGTCTTCATACAGGAGATTCCTTACACGGTAAATCATTTTAGTCATTCTTCTCTGTATGTTCTCCAATGAGTCTATATCCATCCTATAGTAAGGAGACCAAAACTGAGCGGCATAACCTAAATGAGGCCTCACTAGTGATGTATAGAGCTGTAAAATAACTTTTGGACTTCTGTTACTTATACTTCTTGAGATAAATCCAAGTAATCTGTTGGCCTTGTTGCGCACACTGAGGCACTGCTGTCTTGGCTTTAGATTTCTGCTTACCATGACTCCCAAGTCTTTTTCACATTCTGTATGATCAAGCTCTACTTCACCTAGTTTATAGCTTCGAGGGTTATTTTCATTACCAAGGGCAAGTACCTTACACTTATCCACATTGAACTTCATCTGCCATTTTCAGACCAAGACATTAATTTGTCCAAATCCTCCTGGAGTTCATTGATATCCTCCTCAGAGTGAATCATACGGCCTATCTTTGTATCATCAGCAAATTTACTTATGTCACTAGTAATCCCTTCACCAAGGTCATTAATGTAAATTATGAACAAGAGAGGGCCTAAAACTGATTGTTGTGGAACACCACTAGTGACTAATCCCCATTCAGATTTGACCCCATTAGCCTGTAAACGGTCCAAACGTATATATGCGTTTTTTCAACATTTGAAAGTATGTAAAAAAAGTAGATATTCTTTTTTCTTTTTTACATTTGAAAACGTGTAAAAAAATTTTGATCTACTTTTTTTTTTTTTGTTATACGTATTTGAAAATATGTAAAAAAAACGTAGATCTACTTTTGGAGCGCTACACATGTGAACGTAGATCTGCTTGGACCGTTTGCGGGTTAATGGAAACTCTCTGCTTTCTATTGGTAAGCCATGCCTCAATCCATGCTAGAACTTTACCTCCTATACCATGAGCTGCCACTTTTCTTAAGAGTCTCTTGTGAGGTACTCTATCGAAGGTTTTGCTCTGTTATCTGCCTCCCTTGTATCTGTACATTGAGCTCTGCCAACATTTCCTCTGGACTTATGTCTTCATCATCAACTTGTAAGAGATGATTCACATCATCTTCCTGCATAACTTCAGTCATCACCTGGTCATCATCTTCCTAACTGAACTGTTACCTGCACCTGACTGAAGAGAAGGGAAACCTGTGAAAGTATTCACCACACTAGGCATAACTTTCCCCAAGCTGCATTTAATGTTGATTGTGGCACTTCATTCCATGCACTTCTAACACAGCTGATGCATCTGCAATGTTAAATTTATTCCAGAGTTCAGTGATACAACTAAATGACAAAAAGGCACAATACCGTGACTGGAACAACACACAAATGACCCGCACATAGGAGAGAGAGGCCTACCATGACGTTTCAGTCCAAGTCGGACCGAAATATTGTCGTAAGCGCCTCTCTCCTATTTGTGCGTTCAGGTTATTTGTGTATTGATACAACTAGTTTTTTCATCACTTTTCATGTGTAGTTACACCTGAATGACTTAATATATTAATACAACCATGATGAAGTGGTTGTATTAAATAGGTTGTATTTTGAGGTAAAAATACAACTTTTACATGTGGGTTCACATCCAACAAAGCTTCTGGTTAAGTACAGGAATTATCAAGAGTAGAGAGAACCTTGAGTACAAGGTTCTTGTTGTGCAGGTAAAACTAGACTTTAGCTTCATGGTCTGGAACAAGGTGGTCAGTCCCTCAGCCTGGAGAAGAGTCCAGCACCATGGTCTGGAACAAGGTGGTCAGTCCCTCAGCCTGGAGAAGAGTCCAGCACCATGGTCTGGAACAAGGTGGTCAGTCCCTCAGCCTGGAGAAGAGTCCAGCACCATGGTCTGGAACAAGGTGGTCAGTCCCTCAGCCTGGAGAAGAGTCCAGCACCATGGTCTGGAACAAGATGGTCAGTCCCTCAGCCTGGAGAAGAGTCCAGCACCATCGTGCTCAACTCTGTAGGGGAACTTTATAAGAGAACTGACTGTATATAGAGGAACTTTATGAGAAAAGTGACATTTGCTGATCTTGATTCAAGGCACCAGAGCCTCCCTCTGATGTCTTGGATCAGATTGGCCCCCTTGTACCCCAGGTACTGCACTGCCCCTGAGTGTTTAGTGATTGTGGTAGAACAGTGTATAATGTTTGTTATTGTACCAGCAGGACCTGGCATCACTGGAGGCCAGACTCCGCCGCCTGGAGACCGACATCCAGACCAACCAGCACACCATCTCTGAGATCAAGAGCCTGGTGCGCCAGCTGGCACGCTCCAGCTCTCGGGCCAACTCCCTGCTGGGACCCCAGTATGGTATTGTTGCTGCCAACCGATTCATTAGGTATGCTGATTATCACTTATGACCTAACATGATTAGTTATTTCCAGGTTTTAGGTACTATCAAGGAACATTAAGTTCTGGTCTACAGTGTTAGTCATGGCATTATGCCGGCTGAGCTCCCTGGCATAATGCCTTGATGAAAATTAAAGGCCTACCATACAGGGGGGTCTTTTTTTTGCCAGTGCATTATGCCAGGTAGCAGCCGTTAGCATGATGTCACGAGCCTGCCGCCACACTCCATAGTGAGTCCTCAGTGCTCATGTGGCTGCCGTGGTGAGGGGAAGTGTTGCACTTTTGTCTCTCATCCACCCCATCTTTTGTCCAGTGTTCCCTTTGGTTTTGGGGTTAAACATGTTTGATTATGGGTAAAAGGAAGTCTTTAACACCTGAAACTATAGCTCACATCATAGGGCTTCACAAAGCTGGGCACCAGACGAAAGAAATAGTGGAGAATGTTGGTGTGCGTGAGTGTTCAGTGAGGAACTAGGTGCAGTGTTTCAAGGCTGGTGGCGGTGTCAAGTTACCGTCTGCCAAACCTTGGCCTGGCCCCTCGAAGAAGACATCTATTCATACCTTAACTGTGTTAAAGAAGCAGTTAGAGAGTACACTTAAGATAACTGCTGGAGAATTGAAAGAAAAGAACCCACATCTTCTCTCAGAGGTGTCTGTAAGAACTGTTAACAGATGTGTGTCAGAACTGGGCTACAGTAGTCAATGCCAGGTTACGAAACCGATCCTCTTCAAGCCACAGAAGAAACATAGGCTGGATTATGCAAAGAAATATCTTCACTGGAATCCTCAACAGTGGTCTGAAATACTTTGGAGTGATGAAGCAACCTTCACCGTCACCTGTAACCATGGGGGACGTGTACTGGCCCAGAGGTAGTCACCCGCTAGACCCACCCTACACCTTTGGGACAACCAAACACCCAGACTCACTCATGGTTTGGGGGTGTTTCAGTGCTCAGAGTGTTAGTGAACTCATTGTGCTTCCCAAAAACCAATATATGAACCAGTATAATTACCTGGAGTTATTGTGTGACAGTTTACCTGAGGCATTTGACAAGTGTGGGTCTATGGGTTTTATGCAGGACGGTGCACTGTGTCATTCCGCCAGATCTGTAGTTCAGTGGCTTAAGAACTGTGAAGTGAGGTTCTTTAATGACTGGCCAGGCAATTTCCCAGGCCTAAACCCTATTGAGAACCTCTGGTCAGTAGTGAAACGAAGTTTACTGGGCAAGGATATCGGTTCCATCCTGCAGTTGGAGGCTGCCCTACATGAGGCATGGAATAATATACCTCCCCAAACCCTCAAGAATTTGTGTGAGAATCTTCCTACATGGCTGAGGGATGTGATTAAGCATAAAGGACACAGCACTAAGTATTAAAACCTCAGTAAGTGTGCAGAGATATATATTATATAATCTTTCATGGTATGTGTTTGTGTTTTGGTACGTGTGTGGGGGAGGGGCAACATAATGCCGTGACTAGCATTATACAGTGGACCCTCGACCAGCAATGGCATCGATTAACGATAAATCTGACTAGCGATACATTTTATCGCAAAAATTTTGCCTCGATTAGCGCTAAAATACTCGACCAACACTATTCGTTCCGTCTGAGACATGTCCACTTCTGGCCAGTGTTTACAAGCCAGCCAGCCACCGCGGTCGCTTCCAAGCATACAATCGGAACATTTCTTATTATCACAGCCTTTTTAGTGATTGCACCTGCAAAATAAGTCACCATGGGCCCCAAGTAAGCTTCTAGTGCCAACCCTACAGCAAAAAGGGTGAGAATTACTGTGGATATGAAGAAAGAGATCATTGCTAAGTATGAAAGTGGAGTGCGTGTCTCCGAGCTGGCCAGGCTGTACACAAAACCCCCAATCAACCATCGCTACTATTGTGGCCAAGAAAACGGCAATCAAGGAAGCTGTTCTTGCCAAAGGTGCAACTATGTTTTCGAAACTGAGATCGCAAGTGATTAGAAGATGTTGAGAGACTGTTATTGGTATGGATAAACGAAAAACAGATAGCAGGAGATAGCATCTCTCAAGCGATCATATGTGAAAAGGCTAGGAAGTTGCATGACGATTTAATTAGAAAAATGCCAGCAACTAGTGGTGATGTGAGTGAATTTAAGGCCAGCAAAGGTTGGTTTGAGAGATTTAAGAATCGTAGTGGCATACATAGTGTGATAAGGCATGGTGAGGCTGCCAGTTTGGACCAAAAAGCAGCTAAAAATATGTGCAGGAATTCAAGGAGTACATAGACAGTGAAGGACTGAAACCTGAACAAGTGTTTAATGGTGACATTGACAATGTTGTGAAACACTTTAGGAATGTCATAAAGGAACGGGAGGTACAGGCCTCTATGGGCAGATATGTTGTGCGACAGAGGTCCAGTGACTCTCAAGCTGGTCCTAGTGGCATTAAAAGAAGAAGGGAGTAACCCCGAAAAAGGACTTGCCACCTCAAGTCCTAATGGAAGGGGATTCCCCTTCTAAACACTAAGACCATCAACACACTCCCCTCTTCCCATCCCATCAATCATCACCAGATCTTCAATAAAGGTAAGTGTCATGTAACTGTGCATGTCTTCTTCAGTTTGTGTGTATTAAAATTAATATTTCATGTGTTAAATTTTTTTTTTCAATACTTTTGGGTGTCTTGCATGGATTAATTTGATTTCCATTATTTCTTATGGGGAAAATTAACTTGACTAACGATTATTTTGACTAACGATGAGCTCTCAGGAACGGATTAATAGCGTTAGTCGAGGGTCCACTGTAATTGTTTCTTCCCAAACTTTTTTGTTAATTCAGTTATAACTGGAGAATGTTTCATTGGATCAGCTTCAAACCTTCATAATAGATGCCCAGGATAGTACCCAGTTTTAATTAGATGTTTATCCAGTTTTCTATTAGCTTTATTAATTAACCCTTTGACTGTTTTCGACGTATAAATACGTCTTACGAGCCAATGTTTCTGACGTATATATACTCAATAATTCTAGCGGCTTCAAATCAAGCGGGAGAAAGCTGGTAGGCCCACATGTGAGAGAATGGGTCAGTGTGGTCACTGTGCACCACATAAAAAAATCCTGCAGCACACAGTGCGTAATGAGAAAAAAAAACCGATTGTTTTTTTGGAATAAAACGCCGACTTTGAGGTGTATTTTCGTATAGTATTTATCGTTGTATTCGCATTTTCATGGTCTTAGGTGATAAAATGGAAAACATATTACAGAAATAGAGATGATTTTCATTACTTTGACAATGAAAACGAACTTGAAACTGAGCTCAAAGTAGTGGAAATGTTCGATTTTTACCAATGTTCAAGAGTAAATAAATCACACCACACGTTCAATACACATCAACTGGGGAGTCTAATATTCTTTCACTAGTGCACTGATATTATTTATACCATTTTTACAATAATGACAGTAGTCTGCATAACAGTAAATTTTGTATTTTTTTGTATGAATAAAAAATCAAAATAGAAAGCAATATAATATAAGAGGGGCCTAGAGATGTGACTAATGAACAGAGCATATGTTATTTTTAGTGCCACGAATGTCTACCTTGTTTATTCTGGACCCTATTTTGAAATTGGCATCTTTTTAGTTTGCGTGAAATTGGCCAAATTGCCCAAATTTCTGACCACCATATTGGGTAGTTCAAATTAGGAAATGGGAGGTTTCTTGTACTCAGCTGATAGATAAAATGGAGTTCTAAAGAAAATAGCTATGAGTTTGGTCAACTGGAACAATGGAATTGGCTGAAAATAGGGCTCAAAGTCGGCGAAATCGCCGATACGCATATGTCGCCGAGACCGCTAACTTCGCGGGAGCATAATTCCATGAGTTTTTGACCAAATTTCGAACTTTTGGTGTCATTACCATCTGGAAAAGATTATCATTTCATAAGAAAAAATAATTTTTTTTTTTTTTTTCAAAAATTGAGCGACATAGAATGACAGTTTCAGAAAGGGGCCTGAAACAGTCAAAGGGTTAATTAAACAATAAAAATGATGATAATAATAATAATAATAATAAAAATAGTAATTACAGTGGACCTCCGCCTTACGATATTAATCCGTTCATGAGAACTCATCGTAAGACGAAATTATCGTATGGCGAATTAATTTTCCCCATAAGAAATAATGGAAATCAAATTAATCTGTGCAAGACACCACAAAGTATGAAAAAATTTTTTTTTTACCACATGAAATATTAATTTTAATACACACAAACTGAAGAAGACATGCACAGTTAATACTCTACTAAGAATAGAATACATGACACTTACCTTTATTGAAGATCTGGTGATGATTGATGGGATGGGAGGAGGGGAGTGTGTGGAAGTTATTGTTTAGAAGGGGAATCCCTTCCATTAGGATTTGAAGTATCAAGTCCTTTTCCGGGGTTACTTCCCTTCTTCTTTCGTACTTAGCAATTATCTCTTTCTTCATTTCCATGGTAATTTTCACCCTTTTTCCCTCAGGGTTGGCACTAGAAGCTTTCTTGGGGCCCATTGTGACTTATTTTGCAGGTACAATCACTAAAAACACTGTGATAATATGAAATGTACCAAATGTATGATGGATGCGACTGCACTGGCTGGCTTGTAAACATTGGGATGCACGGGGCAGCTGAGGCCATGCGTGGGATGCGTCCTGGACGAATCGCGTGAGGCGAGGCAAAATTTTTGCATTAAAATGTATCGTATGGCGGATTTAACGTAACGCGATGCCATCATAAGGCAGGGGTCCACTGTACATCATCATAGATAATAATAACGATTGTGTACAGGAACGGTCTTACTGGAGTGAATGATGCGGTGGCGGCAGTGGCAGCACCCGGCTCCCCCAACAAGAGTGCCACCATGGCTGTGGCACCAATGGCAGTGCGCTACAACCTGACCCAGGCGGCAGTGATGCCAGATGACTGTATCTTTGCCCAGACGGCGGCACCCCCAGCCGACGTCCAGGTTAGTGTCCCAGTGCTCCAGTGATGTCATTACTGCTGTTATTGTCTCCTGTTTTGTGTCGTGTCGTTACTGCATTCTGATGCATCTTGTTTGTGATGTGTTCTTTGTCGTTCATCAGTCTGTCATATTTCTATACATCTTTAAGCTTGTAAGTGGTAGTTTGGTGGTTTTTGGTGGTAGTAATGTCGTTGTTGCCCCACAGCTGGACAAGGTGTACGCCATGCTCAAGTTCGACAACCCAGATGGTGGCGCCTGGAAACAAGGATGGGAGATTGAATACGATGCAGCACAGTGGTCATCCAGCAAGAAGCTGAGGGTCTTTGTTGTACCACACTCCCATAACGACCCAGGTATGACAAACAACCATCCATCTAGGTACCACAACCATCCAGGCAGGTACGACAACCATCCAGGCTGGTACAACAACCATCCTGGTAGAGGTTAAGTATGTTGGGATATACTAGGTAGTAAACTAGCAGAGGTTGTGTATGTTGTGATATACTAGGAAGGAGATTTAGATTTTGTCACTGAAGCGGCTAGTTTATTGTGCACCTCATATCCATCCTGTAGAGGGTAGCACAAGAGCATATAGATACACAAAAGGCCTAGGAACTAGGTCCCATAAGGGTTAACAGGAATACATCTGGATTGATATCTACAGTACACTTACCTGTTATGAGCAAATTTAAGAAATTTGCTTAATATATCTGGTATCTTATTTTCATTAATAAGATATCTTGATATATCACATAGGTTATTATACTGTCTATCTCTGTATTCCTCAGTAAGTGGACAATTAAGCATATAGTGTTCAAGATAGTGACCATAGCACTGGCCACATACTTTGTATTTGGTTTGATCATCATGTGTGTGTCTGCCAAACTGCCAGAAGTACTTGTAACCAAGCCTAAGCCTGGCTGCTACAACGTCAGTGTTCACGTTGCAAGTTGTTCCTCCATAAACATACTTATCTACGTTCATGTTATTATAGTGGGTTATAGATCTACTCACTCAGGCTTCTAGTTGCTGTAATATTCAGCTTTACTTGCTTGTGTATTGCTTCGTCAAAGATTTTAGTTGTTAATGTCAAGTTGGATATAGGCAGCCTGTTGTTATTTAATCCAGTTGGATCACCTCCTTTGAGGATCAGGATGGTAGGGGTGGTGAGGATGGTAGTACAGTGCCTGTACTCTGCAGGATGGGTGGTGAGGATGGTGGTACAGTGCCTGTACTCTGCAGGATGAGTGGTGAGGATGGTAGTACAGTTCTTGTAATCTGCAGGATTGGTGATGATGGTACACCCCCTTCAGTGGGTAGGATGGTGAACTTTTAACTCGCAATTTGTGGGTAATTCAGGTGACTGACTGAAACACAATGTGAATGGGGGTGTTTCTTCTCCAGCTCGTGCAGCCTCAGTGGTAGTTGAGCAGTGCATTATTTTTCCTTGTATTGCAGGTTGGGTGAAGACGTTCGATCAGTATTACACTGACCAGACTCACCACATCTTAGACAATATGGTGCAGAAGCTGCCAATGGATCCTCGAAGGAAGTTCATCTGGGCGGAGATATCTTTCTTCTCTCTGTGGTGGGATCAGCAGTCTGAGAATGTCAGAGAGGCAGTGCGAAGGTAACAGTGTTGTTAACATTTGTCTTAGAGACTGTGACAACAATTACAAATGTTGTCAAGGTGTGTAAAAGAAGGGAGTTTAAAGAGAAGACAGGATAGAAGGAGCAGGTGATGAGGGGACAGAAATTTAGGCAGTGAAATATAAGACAAGATTATAGGGAGGGAGTATGAGGGAAGTTATCTGGAAGTGTCAGTGGATGGATCTTTGAAAGATGAGGTGAACCATGCATTTGATGAGGGAACCATGCAATTGATGAGGGGAAAATAGTGAATGATGGGTTGAGGCATCTGTGGAGACAAAGAACATTATCCATAGAGGTGGAAATGTATAAGAGTATAGTGGTACTAACACTATTGTATGGGTTTGAAGTATGGGTTTTAAACATTACATCTAGGAGGAGACTGTGGTCTATCAGAAAGTTAGACCACACAGTATATCTATCATTCAGTATACCTTAATCTAAGACTGGTGTCTACTGGTAGACTACAGTCTTCCCTGATAAACCTTCATCCATAAATGGTCTGTACTGGCAGACTGGTAGACCACAGTCTTGCTGATACATGAATTATGTATTCCCTCAGACTGGTCGACCGGGGTCAGCTAGAGATGGTGACTGGTGGTTGGGTGATGAATGACGAGGCCAACACTCACTACTTTGCCATGCTGGTTCAAATGATGGAGGGTCATGAGTGGCTCAAACTAAACCTGGGAGTTAAACCAAAGTAAGTCCAGCCAGCGACGCTACAACTGTTTACCCTCGTTGTTGTTGTCATCCTCGTTGAGGCACCTGGCCTTATTGGCACACTACCTCACTCTTATATATTAATAATACAATGGACCCTGGGTTATAGGCCATAATCCGTTCCAGAAGGTCAGCTGATAACCGAAATGGCCAAAAATCGAAATAATATTCCCCATAAGAATTAATGGAAATGCAATTAACCCGTTCCAGACAAACATATTCACAAAAAATAATTTTTTTAACAATTATGTAAATATTACATACCTATATTGAAGGCTAATGCTGGCTTCTGGAAGATAGGGAAGAGGAAAGAGGGAGGAGTTAGTGTTTGGAAGGGGAATCCCCCTCCATAAAGACTTTAGGTAGCAAAGCTTTCTCTGGGGTTACTTCCCTTCTTTGTCTTTTAATGCCATTAGGACCAGCTTGAGAGTCACTGGACCCCTGTCTCACAACAAATCTGTCCATAGAGGTCTGTTTCTGGCATCTCTCTAAGATTTCCCTGAAGTGGGACAGGGTTTTGTCACTGAACATGTTGCAGACATGGCTTGTTTCAGCTTGGTCAGGGTGGTGTTTCTCTACAAAAGCTTGCACCCTAATCCACATTGCACACACCTCTTTAATGTGTCACTTACTACTACAGTACATTCATTATTTACCTTAAAATATTTGTAGTCTTAATGTAGGGCAAGAGGTGAGTAGTATTTATTTGCAGGAAGTCAGTGTAGGTAGCAGTAGATGTAGGTACAGTACACCTCAGGATTTGGGGTTGCGACAGTCAAGGGATAAAATATACATTGCATATAATAAACATTGCATGTTTATATACTATGTAACGTGTTTCTTATATAATTTTGAAGAAGATATAATAGATGGATTAATGAAAATGTCTATATTAACGTAAAATAAGACATTTAATGTGCCAGTGATTATTATTAAATATACATTGCATATAAACATTGCATGTTTTTTTATACTATGTAATGTGTTTCTTTGGGCCCATGGTTGCTTATTTTGCAGTTGTACTCAATCAATAACCACAAAAAAAAAAATGGATTATAGCAAAATGTTTGGATGAATGAGCAGAAGCTTCCTCACTCGCCCAGAGACAAAGCCAAACTGACTTGCAAGCAGCCCCAGCCGGCAGATGGATGCCTCCCAAACGGCCGATAACTGAATTAATGGCCGATAATCGGGCGCTGAAAAACCAGCCGATAACCGAGTTGGCCGATAACTGAACTGGCCGATAACTGGGGGTCCACTGTAATTATAATATTAATAATAATAATTATAATACTGCAAGTATGTGTTTATACAGTAGTTTCCTCACATCTATGGGGTTGCATTCCAAGGACCTGCTGTTGCGGATACTGAAATCACTGATAGTAGCGAATCCTATATAGTATAAGTCGTTTTTCATTTACATATATACCTATTATAAAGTTTAATTGATAAATTACACAAAATAATTCAAGAATTACCACTTTTTCACAGATTGGAAGCACTGCACAACTTCTCTTAGACTTTGAACAACTTCCACCATCACTAATTTTGGACATTGAGGTCATTACAGGAGGTCCTCACGTATATGCCAGGTTCCAGGCTACCAGGTTCCAGGCTACCAGGTTCCAGGCTACCAGGTTCCAGGCTACCAGGTTCCAGGTTCCAGGCTACCAGGTTTCAGGTTCCAGGCTATCAGGTTCCAGGCTACCAGGTTCCAGGCTACCAGGTTCCAGGCTACCAGGTTCCAGGTTCCAGGCTACCAGGTTCCAGGTTCCAGGCTACCAGGTTCCAGGCTACCAGGTTCCAGGCTACCAGGTTCCAGGCTACCAGGTTCCAGGCTACCAGATTCCAGGCTACCAGGTTCCAGGCTACCAGGTTCCAGGCTACCAGGTTCCAGGCTACCAGGTTCCAGGCTACCAGGTTCCAGGTTCCAGGCTACCAGGTTCCAGGCTACCAGGTTCCAGGCTACCAGGTTCCAGGCTACCAGGTTCCAGGCTACCAGGTTCCAGGTTCCAGGCTACCAGGTTCCAGGCTACCAGGTTCCAGGCTACCAGGTTCCAGGCTACCAGGTTCCAGGTTCCAGGCTACCAGGTTCCAGGCTACCAGGTTCCAGGCTACCAGGCTACCAGGTTCCAGGCTACCAGGTTCCAGGCTACCAGGTTCCAGGCTACCAGGTTCCAGGCTACCAGATTCCAGGCTACCAGGTTCCAGGCTACCAGGTTCCAGGTTCCAGGCTACCAGGTTCCAGGCTACCAGGTTCCAGGCTACCATGTTCCAGGCTACCAGGTTCCAGGCTACCAGGTTCCAGGTTCCAGGCTACCAGGTTCCAGGTTCCAGGCTACCAGGTTCCAGGCTACCAGGTTCCAGGCTACCAGGTTCCAGGCTAACAGGTTCCAGGCTACCAGGTTCCACACTACCAGGTTCCAGACTGCCAGGTTCCAGGCTACCAGGTTCCAGGCTACCAGGTTCCAGGCTACCAGGTTCCAGGCTACCAGGTTCCAGACTGCCAGGTTCCAGGCTAACAGGTTCCAGGCTACCAGGTTCCAGGCTACCAGGTTCCAAGCTACCAGGTTCCAGGCTACCAGGTTCCAGGTTCCAGGCTACCAGGTTCCAGGCTACCAGGCTACCAGGTTCCAGGCTACCAGGTTGCAGGCTACCAGGTTGCAGGCTACCAGGTTGTAGGCTACCAGGTTCCAGGCTACCAGGTTCCAGGCTACCAGGTTCCAGGCCACCAGGTTCCAGGCTACCAGGTTCCAGGCTACCAGGTTCCAGGCTACCAGGTTCCAGGCTACTAGGTTCCAGGCTACCAGGTTCCAGGCTACCAGGTTCCAGGTTCCAGGCTACCAGGTTCCAGGCTACCAGGTTCCAGGCTACCAGGCTACCAGGTTCCAGGCTACCAGGTTCCAGGCTACCAGGTTCCAGGCTACCAGGTTCCAGGCTACCAGATTCCAGGCTACCAGGTTCCAGGTTCCAGGCTACCAGGTTCCAGGTTCCAGGCTACCAGGTTCCAGGTTCCAGGCTACCATGTTCCAGGCTACCAGGTTCCAGGCTACCAGGTTCCAGGTTCCAGGCTACCAGGTTCCAGGCTACCAGGTTCCAGGCTACCAGGTTCCAGGCTACCAGGTTCCAGGCTATCAGGTTCCAGGCTACCAGGTTCCACACTACCAGGTTCCAGACTGCCAGGTTCCAGGCTAACAGGTTCCAGGCTACCAGGTTCCAGGCTACCAGGTTCCAAGCTACCAGGTTCCAGGCTACCAGGTTCCAGGTTCCAGGCTACCAGGTTCCAGGCTACCAGGCTACCAGGTTCCAGGCTACCAGGTTGCAGGCTACCAGGTTGCAGGCTACCAGGTTGTAGGCTACCAGGTTCCAGGCTACCAGGTTCCAGGCCACCAGGTTCCAGGCCACCAGGTTCCAGGCTACCAGGTTCCAGGCTACCAGGTTCCAGGCTACCAGGTTCCAGGCTACCAGGTTCCAGGCTACCAGGTTCCAGGCTACTAGGTTCCAGGCTACCAGGTTCCAGGCTACCAGGTTCCAGGCTACCAGGTTCCAGGCTACCAGGTTCCAGGCTACCAGGTTCCAGGCTACCAGGTTCCAGGCTACTAGGTTCCAGGCTACCAGGTTCCAGGCTACCAGGTTCCAGGCTACCAGGTTCCAGGCTACCAGGTTCCAGGCTACCAGGCTACCAGGTTCCAGGCTACCAGGTTCCAGGCTACCAGGTTCCAGGCTACCAGCTTCCAGGCTACCAGGTTCCAGGCTACCAGGTTCCAGGCTACCAGGTTCCAGGCTACCAGGTTCCAGGCTACCAGCTTCCAGGCTACCAGGTTGCAGGCTACCAGGTTGCAGGCTACCAGGTTGCAGGCTACCAGGTTGCAGGCTACCAGGTTGCAGGCTACCAGGTTCCAGGCTACCAGGTTCCAGGCTACCAGGTTCCAGGCTACCAGGTTCCAGGCTACCAGGTTCCAGGCTACCAGGTTCCAGTACACTCAATATTTACCTTAAAATATTTGTAGTCTTAATGTAGGATGAAATGAGTAGTATATATAGTGGGTAGTTCCCACACCAGCTACCATACCTGGTAGTTCCCACACCAGCTACCATACCTGCTAGTTCCCACACCAGCTACCATACCTGGTAGTTCCCACACCAGCTACCATACCTGGTAGTTCCCACACCAGCTACCATACCTGGTAGTTCCCACACCAGCTACCATACCTGCTAGTTCCCACACCAGCTACCATACCTGCTAGTTCCCACACCAGCTACCATACCTGCTAGTTCCCACACCAGCTACCATAACCTGGTAGTTCCCACACCAGCTACCATACCTGGTAGTTCCCACACCAGCTACCATACCTGGTAGTTCCCACACCAGCTACCATACCTGGTAGTTCCCACACCAGCTACCATACCTGGTAGTTCCACACCAGCTACCATACCTGGTAGTTCCCACACCAGCTACCATACCTGGTAGTTCCCACACCAGCTACCATACCTGGGTAGTTCCCACACCAGCTACCATACCTGGTAGTTCCCACACCAGCTAACATACCTGGTAGTTCCCACACCAGCTACCATACCTGGTAGTTCCCACACCAGCTACCATACCTGGTAGTTCCCACACCAGCTACCATACCTGGTAGTTCCCACACCAGCTACCATACCTGGTAGTTCCCACACTAGCTACCATACCTGGTAGTTCCCACACCAGCTAACATACCTGGTAGTTCCCACACCAGCTACCATACCTGGTAGTTCCCACTCCAGCTACCATACCTGGTAGTTCCCACACCAGCTACCATACCTGGTAGTTCCCACACCAGCTAACATACCTGGTAGTTCCCACACCAGCTACCATACCTGGTAGTTCCCACACCAGCTACCATACCTGTTAGTTCCCACACCAGCTACCATACCTGGTAGTTCCCACACCAGCTACCATACCTGGTAGTTTCCACACCAGCTACCATACCTGCTAGTTCC